CCCCTGCGCTGGAACACAAGCGAACCTGTATCGTGACAGTGCAGCCACACTCCCACAAAATCTCCAAAACTGCTTTGTCCTGCCAAGTGCAAGCACACATCAGTCAGATGAATCAATAACATGTCATGTAATGTGAACACAAGCAGCAACTGTCCTGGGAGACTAGGGCTTTGAAGACGGCCAAGTACCAAGCCCACAACACAAACCCGCCGCTAGCAAGATGCAACGAGCTGTTGAACTCTTCGTGAATCACGTCAGATGCTGACTCCGTGAGGACAATCATCTCACAAGGCCACGTCAGCCGGTTTCGTGACGTTTTTTGTTTCTTCTTGGCAGCTTCACGCGATACAACTGTGCTGAAAGCAACTTTCTTGGAGAAGAAAGCGTCTTCGAAAGTTTGGAGATCCTGCCAGCACACATCCTCAGACGCACTGGCAAAAGCTTCGGTGGCCAGCCACAGCGCGAGGCCACTGGCTTCGTAAAGTCCAGATGATGTCAGGGACGCTTGGCAGTCATCTTTGCTCCACACAGCCTGACAAACGACAACGGTCAAACAATAAATGACATTGATCGACATGCGCCCGCCTTGTATCCGGTCAAATCCCCCATCTTGGCTTCTGCGTTGATGGCAAGCGGCGGTGTCTTGAACATCTGCTTGGCCTGCGGAAACTTCAGCGGGAGCTGGCTGCGGACCTCGGGCAGGCACGGCATGCAGCACTGTTAGCCGCGAGACGGGACACGGTATCAAGAACTCAGCGAAGGGCCCATGACACGATGTTTGCCAGGGCTTCTTGAGCACTGGCCTGCTTCACATGGCGTGCCACACATCATCATCACACACGTCATACTGCTCCGAAAATGCTGAGCTCAGAAAGGTTGGGTCGGTGGGCAAATCCGGCACTTTTGCCATTGAGCGCGAGTACAGAAGCCTGGGAACCTGGGAGCCGAGTAGCCTTCCACGGAACCGTTTGGAGTCTTGCGGTGCAGCGCAAGGCAATGCAGGACATGCTGCAAACAAACACAAACTGACGTCGACAGCGGTCCTTTGTAGTCGTGGGCCCTGCCACAGTTTGTCGACGAGCGGCTTGAGCTTTACATGTCCATTTAAATCAAGTTGGCAGCAAAGTAAGGAAGCATCAAAATCCTACTATGCTGCTGATGAGTCATCTAAACATGACGACACCAAGCCGGCGCCACATGGACCTTGGAGCCTGGGAGCCTAGGAGCCTGGGAGACGCCTCAGCTGGGCATCAACGGCAGCGAGGGCATCCTGGTCGCGGCGGAGCTGCTTGTTGGAGACGTCCACCTGGTCCTTCAAGCGCCGTTTGTGCTCCACCAGCTTGGAGCGCTGAGCCTCAAGGAGAATGTCTGAGTGCTTCCTGGGGTTGCTCATGCTCACGATGACCATCTCGATCCCGGACCTGCGTACCTTCAAGTTGCCGGTGCGGATCCGCTCTGCCAGGTCATTGCCCTTGAGCATCCAGAAGTCCCCCATCGGATGGAGAACCGGCGGTGACTGGTTGATGACGCCCTCGCAGCTGAACTCGAGCATGTCCATGTCGAGCTGCTTGAGGGCAAAAAAACCCAACGTGGCCGCTGCGTGCGTGGACGAAGAAACCGGGAACAGGGCTGCACCGGGATCCGGAAGGAACGGATCCCCCTGCGCAGCGAACACGTGGTTCCGGGCCAAGAAGTTCACGAGGGCAGATGTGTCCTCCTTGCTAATGTCGAAGCCGCCGCCGCCGCCGCCTTCCTCCGACGTGACCGCCGTGTAGCACATGAAGCCCAAACCCCCGCCAAGGTCGGGCCCGGGTGCAAGGGTCTGCCAGGCGCGGCTGGTCGTGGCCTGCACCATGACGTGCCTTGATCGGACGCAATACCCTGGACCCCTAAACCCCTAAACCCCTGAACCCTTGAACCCCTGAACCTCTGAACCCCTGAGCCTATAATTAATATAAAATTAAATAACAATAAATGAAAAGACTTCCTGGCGTCCGATGTACTCGAATTCAAGGCTCCAGTTCGCCTCGTCGTGGAAAGGCAGCTCCTGGCAAGGATCCGAGAACAGCGGAACATAGTAGCCGCCATCCTCCACCACAATGTCTCTTGCAGAGCACGCTTCGGCCAGATTTATCTTGGTGAACAGTGTGAGAACCACGAACTGGGTCTCCCCAATGGCTTCTGTCAGCTGGCGGCGCGATGAGCGCAGCTTCGCCTTCACAGGCTTGTCTGCAGCAGACGGGGCCGCCCCCAACTTGCGCATGGCTTCCTTGCGCTGCGATGTGATGGCGTCCAGTTTCGTCGCCAGAAACAAGGCACGGAAGCCGATCTCCGGTGACTCGTAATAGGAATCCTTCTCAAACTCGGAAGCCGCCTCCACACTCTTCTCGTAGTCACTTGCCCTCAGCGCACAGTAGCCGAGACGCGCCCAAGATCTCTGAGACTGAGTCTCTATCACTGGGTTCTCCTCCGGCTCGGCGATGATGGTGGGTGCCATATCTGCGGCGGCTGCTTTAGGATCGGCTGCGGCGATTTTCGCAGGCGGCATTGGGACCTAGTAGCCTATGTGAGCCAGGGAGCCTTGGAGCCTGTTGCCGCAGAAGCCTCGTATCAGATGCTGATAGTGACATGGCAAGACTGACACAACACACTGTCGCATGCAACTGTCATGTTCTGACAACTCAGCCACACAGCCAACCATGACTGAAATGAAACGACTTTGGGCCTGCCCCTCGACGTCCATCTTGTCGACGACAACAGCCTCAGACAATGCAGTGACAAGTGACATGTGCATTGAAGGGTCATTTGCGTGCGTTGAAGGGTCATTCGTGTGCATTGAAGGGTGACAGGTGCTTCTTTCATCATTAAGGCACTGCTAACGTGACCCTTGGATGCACTCAAAACACCCTTGGATGCATGGAACAAGAGCTGCCGGGACCCTTGGATGCATCCAAAACACCCTTGGATGTAGCGCCGCGGCGATTGGCGCGAATCCTGCCTGTATTGAAATGAAAGAGGAAGGCTATTGCAAGGGACAAATGGAACGTCAATACACCAGGGATTGGCACCAATCCATGGTGTATTGCATCCTACCATTGTCCTGCAATTAAACAACTGCAGGGGAAGTGAATTGCAAGGCCGTTTTGTCCTGCCAATACGCCCCGGATTGGCACCAATCTGCAGTGTATTGAGCAGGGGCTTGCAACAGGCTCTGTTGCAGGCACCTGCTGCCCCAGACAAGGTTAACCCTGCCTTGCGACACAGGCCCCCTGTACATTCCTGTGCGAACGACTAGACTTAAAATGATTCGACCCCAGGAAAATTCCTGCCTGCGAACCTGGGAGCCAAGGAGCCAAGGAGCCAAAGAGCACTGTCATTAACTGCTGCAGTACAGGACTATGACGCACGAACTTTCTTGGGTTTCTTGGGGGGCAAATGCCTCATCTGTACACCAGCACCGGACAATGTCCGCTTCTGGGACAACCCGCGGACGGTGCGGAGGAAATTCCAGATATCGGCCTCTCCATTGATCTTGTAGGTGGTGCGCCTCTTGGTAGCAAATTGAGTGGGCAGTGGTGTGCCGATAGCAACACGCCACTTCGACTGGGGCAACTTCTCACAGAATCGCAGGGCCTCGACGATGGCACGGGTCCTGACTGATTGAACTTAAATGAACCCAAACCCAACCCTAGACAATAAACCCTTCAACCCGAAACCCTTGAACCTCAGTGTCTGTGCCACCGAGCAACAGTTGACAGCTCTTGGCGATCTCAAGGCCGACCAGCCTCGAAGTTGCAGCTGTGTTGAAGGACAAGAACGACTTCTCAGCATCAATTGTCGGATTGTCCAAGTATGCCAGAATCGCCTCCCTGGAGGCAAGCACTTTGCCACAGCCGTACGCAATGATCAAGGCAGGAACCTGGGATGAAACACGTCAACGTGTACCAGCAGTGACGATCTAAGCCTGGCATCATCCGACTTTTAAACATTTTAATTAAAAGCTTGGGACCAGTCGGTCGCTGCGGACCGTCTCCACATCGGACAGTTGTTCGAGGACCAGGATATCGGCGGATTCATACTCGTACGGTCCAAGAATCTGGAAATGCTTGTTGCCTTGCAGCGACTTGCTGTCCGTGTAGCGACGATAGACCGGACATAGCTTCAGAGCTCGTTTGCGGAGGATGCTTTGCAAGACGGATGACCGATCCTTCTCGTGGCCGTGCTGCACCATGCGCAAACCGCCAAGCCGTGCCGCCGTTGTTGTGTAAGCAATCTTGCCAGAGGATCGTCTCCGCGCTTCCTCTTGGTGACCTTGGCTGGATGACAATGACAATGTGTATGACACTTCAAATGACTTAGCACGGAAAGCAACCGTTGTGCTGCTGAGTCACCGTCATATTTCTGCTGTGTGCGTGCACGGAAATTCTCCAAATGCTTGAGGGCATCTGGTGTGGGGCGGGCGAAAGCCCAACGTGTGCCAGCAACGCTGTTCTGGGCAGAGGCAGACGCTGCCGGCAAAGGCAGGCTCAAGCCCGGCACGAAAGAGGCCGGCTTCCACGACCTGCCTTTCGAAGCAGCTGCCTCTGCTCTCTTCGCTGCCTCGGCGGCGGCTGCTTCACGGCCTCTGACAATTGCAGCCAGAGTTCCAGAACGTGCCTGGCGTGGCTTGCTGGGCCCCTGCTTTCGTTCTTTGTTGTAGGTCATGCGGAACCGACGCCCAAAGTGACGAATCCACAGTTCACCACAAAGAACCCCGAAGTCAGTTGGGGTCAGCACGGCACCTTCGCTCTCCGGCTTCCGGAAAAATTCTTCCTCTCGCTGGGGACCTTCAACTGCCACCTCGAGGATGGAGGCAATGGTTGAGCCATTTGGAGTGAGGGGTCCGGAATGCGCCTCCAGCTGTGTGAGCAAGTGTCCCAAATCCCTTTCCAGCGTGGTCGTGTTGATCTTCAAGGACAAGAAGAAAGCAATGAGGGCATGACAATCCTCTGTCCATGGAAGTTTGTGTGCATGCCGTGCACGCCACGCTGGCCGAAGCAACCAAGACCACGCATGTTTGTTCCCGAAGCCTGGGTCCTTTGACTTAGCTGCTTCTAGAAGAGGATGCAATTTGCGAGCAAATCGTCCAAACAGCACGGCTGTACCGTGCGAAAGCTTGAGCATATCACAGAGCTTGCGTGTAGAGTCCACTAGCTCCTGTTGTCGGTTCGTCTCCTGCCACAGCCGAAGGTTGAATACCTGCAGAGCCACGGCGATCTCATCCTCCGTCAGATCTACTCGCAAACGCTCCAGCATCGCCTCGACCACGTGCGCCATAGTTCCCATGATCTGCCTTACATCAGAAATGCCGGCCTTCGTGCACAGGTAGTGGACTCTGTTGCCATAGAAGATCCTAGGTTTGCCACGGCGGGCATACCAGCGAAGCCTACTGGAACACAACCGCTATGACGACGACAAACTTGCAGGGTAGTTGCGGCTCTGGTGTCTGGATCTCCTCGTAAACTAACTGGGTTGCACACCTCCTGGGAGCCTGGGAGCCTGGAGCCTCGGAGCCGTCCACGGAACTGGGAACCTGCGAGCTGTCGGAGAGGATGTATCCATCCACAAATAAGAACCGCTGGCGCTTGGTGAACTCTTCCAGCACTCTGGGGGTGCAGGATACATCTGGATCCTCAATGTCAAAGTTCCTGCGCAAGAAACCCAGGCACTCAGATGTGTAGTCGCAAGTGAGTCCACAGCGCATGAGGGCTGCTGCATTCATGTTTTGCAAGGCGCGCTCTGCTCGGGAGCGAATCTCGACCGTGTTTCTCTCCTGTGTGTCATACAACGGACATTTCAACATACATGACATACATGCGTAGAGTACATACATACTATTACATTACATACATACATGCATACATACTACATACATAATACTTACATACATTAAATTACATACATACATACATACATACAAACATACAAACATACAAACATACATACTATACATACATAACATACTACGATACATACACACATACATACAAACATTCAATGTTTAAAATAATTTAATTTATTATTATTAAATTAGTTCATACTCAGTCATACAATACATACATACATACATACATACATACATGCCATACATACATACATACACACATACATACATACATACATACTATACATACATACATACATACATCATACATACATACATACATACATACATACATACATACATACATACATACTATACATACATACATACATACATTGTATTATGTTAATAATAATATGTCTAATAATACCTACATGCATACATACATACATACATACAATGCCAATACAATACATACATACATACATACATACATACGTATCATACATACATACATACATACATACAAACATACATACATACATACATACATAATACATACACACATACATACTTTAAATTTCTTAACGCTACACATACATACATACATACTACATACATACATACATACATACCTACATACATACGTACATGCATACATACTTACATCCATGCTTTACTTACATAATACATACTACATACATACATGCATACATACATACTCATACATAATACTTACATACATACATACATACATACATACATACGTACATGCCATACATACATACATACATACAATTCAATTTAGATACTACACATTGAAAGTGAATTACCATGCATTAATACATACATACATACATACATACATACATACATACATACATATACATATATACATAATACTAAGACTACATACTTAGTTATTATTGAATAAAAGTTAATATATTATTAAATAGTTATTAATCATTGTCATTAATATTTATTAATCTAAATTATTATTATTATTATTATTATTATTATTAAATTTATTAAAATAATAATTACGTACATACATACATCCGCACATACATGCATTAATACAATCCATACTAAGACTAAGATTTAATACACAATAATTAAATTAAAATAAATAATAATTATTAAATTTAATAATTTTAAAATTTGTTTGACATAAGGACAAGACTCGTCAGCAGCCTGCATAGCACATAAGACCGCCATCGCACGAATCATGCACAAGTACTTCAGCATTGGTGTGGCCGACGAGTCAAACCGAGGTTGGGAGAACGACAACGCTCGGATCACCTTCTCCACACCAGCCTGGGAGCCATGGAGCCTGAGAACCTCTTGCTGGGCCGCCATGAGCCTGGCCTTCCAGACTTCTGAGTTCTGGATGTCCGGGATAAGCGCATGCTTGCCCTTGCCGGGAGCAAACAAACGCTCCCACTGGTCTTGGAACTCGGGCATGGCGTGAAGAGGGTCCTGGTAGGCAATACGAACCTGGTGCGCAGGATCATGGCTTACCCAGACCAGGTTAGGATACTGGCCGCCAGTGACCAACAACCTTCCACACTTCCGGGCAGATGTGCACTGATCGGCTGCAAAGTGCCGCACGTGCAGCTTCAAGCGGCTGCAGGACTCCTCGTCAGTTTTGCCTTCCGGATCCTGACAGGCCCTGTCAATGACTATGCCTATGCTGTCTGCCATCACCTGACTCTTGTCCGCATCGTGCTCCTCCAATGTGTTTTCAGGAACACTGGCACCTGTCTTGTAGACCCCAAGCAAGCCATCGGCGACAAGCGGGCCATCCTCCGAGCCTTGGGAGCCTTGGGAGCCTTGGGGACCTTGGGAGCCTGGAGCCGCTGACTGCTTGGCAGTGCGCGGTGGAACATCGCAACGGTACCTCACCAAACGATACTCCTTGCGGTCGTCCACGGACAAGCTGATGCTGGTGGCTTGTTCGAGACGCTGCTTGCGAACACTCTTGACAGCCCAGTGCATAACAAGAATCATGTTCTTGAGACCTCAGATGATTAATTAAATTATTTGTCCAATTTTAAATTTAAATGTGCCAAAATAAAATGTCAACAATCTGAAACCTTAGGCCTTTTAAAGTGCTGCATCCTGGCTCACACTGTCAAGCTTCGTGTTCCTGCCAGCAGCGAAGTCTTCCGTGGAATAGAATTTCACGGCACCTTTGAAAGAAGATGCTGTCCGGCACGCCCGCCACGCTCGCAGCCAATCTGCCGGCTGAGGAACGTTGCCGGAGAAGAGGTGCTGATGCTTGATGCTGTAAGGCAAGCACTGTGAGATCGGCGTGTCAGGAGCTAGGTAAACCTTCGTGGCCACCTGGTGAACGAAGGTCTTGCTGTGAGCGTGTATGCAGCATGCCTGCATCGCACTCCTGCCAAAGTCTGCGACTGATGCCTTAAATCACAGCTGACAACGACAACATGATGCGGTCCTTGATCGGACCTCATAGGCACCCCACTTGGTAGAGAGGCGACTGCCCAGCCTTAGGCATTTAGGGCTGCGAAAGTTGGGCTGGTCACGGTCAGCCTTAATTTGATCACAAAGGGGCTATCCGCTCGCACTACACTGCACAATTCGGCCGGACTGCAACCTCTTCCGCTCTGCTGGGTTCTGTGCCAAAACATTCATCAAGTGTGCACAAAAGTGACAGCCGATGCCCCAATCGCCTCCTCGGCGAGCTGGTCTCTGGCCCAGCCAAACTGTCCGCTGCTGCTTGCCCCAAGACGTGTGGGTGAGGCTTCCGGCTTTGCTCCAAACTTCCTGGAAGCGAAGGAACCTGACTGACATGTTGGGATTGTATGCAAACGGACGAGATCAAGTCGAGAATGCCGGAAGCAAGAACCAACCAGCAACTGCAACATAGTCAAGTAGCAAGTCTGCCACAAACAATAACGATCCAACAGAGAGAGAGAGAGAGAGAGAGAGAGAGAGAGAGAGAGAGAGAGAGAGAGAGAGAGAGAGAGAGAGAGAGAGAGAGAGAGAGAGAGAGAGAGAGAGAGAGAGAGAAAAAGAGAGAGAGAGAGAGAGAGAGAGAGAGAGAGAGAGAGAGAGAGAGAGAGAGTGAGAGAGAGAGAGCGAGAGAGATAGAGAGAGAACGAGAGAAAGAGAGAGAGAGAGAGAGACAGAGAGAGAGAGAGAGAGCGACGGAGAGAGAGAGAGAGAGAGAGAGAGAGAGAGAGAGAGAGAGAGAGAGAAACACGACAGCAAGATGATAAAGAACCAAAATGAAAAAATAGATTGACATGTAATGTGTATGCATGCATGGCAGGCATGTAAGTATGTATGTATGTAGTATGTCTAGTTGCCCGGTTCAGAAACCCTATTAATAATAAGACCATTTATGATTTAAATTTCTATTTAAATATTAAATAAAATTATAAATTAAATAATAATTTAAATTAAAATTAGGGTTTCTGAACCGGGCAGCTTGCATCGGCTGCATTTCTCGTCGCCACCACGATGGCGAGCCAAATGCTCTGCATCGCTCTCAGTCGCGAGACCAACATCGCCACATCCCTTTCCGGTGTCGTCGTCGCCCTCCTGAGCCAGGCCTTCGCCGGACTCGAGCCGAAGCTTCTTCGGGGCCGCAGGCACGGATCCTTGTGGACCTCGTCTTTTTTTTGTCGGCGTCCGGTCCTGCTTCCGGGAGCGTAGTCCGAACCGAGCGGCAAGACCACGCAGGGTGCGGCTACCCACTGGCATTGAAATCCTGGGGGCCTTGGAGCCTTGAGCCTGGGAGCCTGAAGCGACCGCGCAGCACTTACGATGACAAGCAAACGCAACCGTGGCAACCGTGCTAAGACTGGAACTGAATCAGACTCTGCAACTGGTCCAACCGACTCCGACTAACCCGAGAACCGCGCCTCCAGCTTCCCGTTCGATCCGACAGCGAGCAGCTGCCTGGCAGACGTGAGGGTATTACCCCGAGTCAAGCAGCCCGAATGGCACAACACTGCGAACTCCTATGCACACTGCGGCGGTTTGTTTCACTGGGAGTCGGCAGGGTGACCCAGTCCAAATAATCTGTACTGCTCGGAGCAGGCTTTCCCGAATTTTGCACCCGGCCTCACCTAAGTCAGTCTATGATGCCAACTCCGAGTGGCCAAATTAGAAAACGCATGCCATTCTCCGTCATAATATGACGAATTAATGACTACTACTTTGCCCAGCGATGGGCAAGACGGGACGCCAATGTGGCCGTGGCACCCTTCCTCGAGCACTTCTTTGCTGCCTGCGGTCTCAAGACTTTCTGCCAACGCTTTGCCAAAGCTGACATGCCTTCAGCCTTCTGAGCCTTTGGAGCCTTCCAGCACGGGTCAACCGGCCTTATATAGAAGGACGCTGGTGGTATAAGGACGCTGGCCCATATAAGGTCGATCGCATTTTTGCCTCTTGAATCAAAAAGTTTCACGGACGAACGAAACGGGATCAAAAGATTTCTGAGATGTGCAATTTGGCTTTGAAATGTTTGGATTGCACACCAGTGGCTACAAAAAAGTCGGGATCACGTACGAAATGGGCTACACACCCGAAGCAGTCATGAGCATCAGTGCGATCATGTTCGGTTTCTTTTAAGAATCGAGCTCCCAAATTGCAATTCCGGGGTCTGATTGTATAGCTCGAGGAGTGATTCGCCAAAATTTGGGGCAAGGGATCCACAATACATCCTTTGAAATGAACCTGTCGGGGGATTCAGTGTGACATCGGTGTTCTAATACTGTGCATTACTCGATTTATAATAGGATATTATAACAGGTGTGTTGCACGTTCGCGTGATGGCCAGCACTCACAGCCGGTACGCCTCGAAGATTCAGGCATACACCGAGTTTATCGTCGACGATGCAATCTTTAAAGATGTGCGCGTGTGTCTAAAATGGTGTTGATATTTGTATAGCGATAAAAAATATGGCTATATAGACGTATCTGTATATATATATACATATGTATACCACACATTGTGACATATAATTCGGAGAAATCAAGAATGTATATATATATATATATATATATGTAGCCATGGACTCCGGCCATCTGCATGCTGGAAGCTGGCGGGCGATGACGTGAGCACTGCTGCATCCGATCTGCATGCAGACGATCTATTTGTTTTACTGTCTCTGCCAGCGAAGTCCCATCTGCACAGTATATCGCAGCAGCACATTCTGTGACATATTGCGCACAGGAGATTTCGAAGCCAGACTCTTAATCCGACGGATAGCGTCTTCCCCAAGATAGTTGCTGAAGTATTTTGGGTTGCGGGGCCTCCAATCCAATATGCAGTGCTCCAATAAATGGAGTTTGGGCCTAAAGTGGTATCTCGGTAGCACTCGAGCTATTGCACTTCGTGCAAGCTCGTTGTACGCAAAACGAAGCATCAGGTAGCAATCCTCGAACTGCTGTGCGGCCGCATTGCCGAAGAAGCGACTTGGATGCATACACTGCCATGAGAGCAATATACACTGCCATGAGAGATTTAAATTCGCAACATAGTGCTGACTGAGTGCCCGTTGTGGATCATCAGCATCTCCATATCTCGAAAAGCCGTGGCAGCTGCCAGCAAGTGCCTGGGTGCATGCACGCTCATGTATGCTGAAAGTTTATAAGTCTACAAAACACATGCGTATAAGGTATGTTCCAAGTTGCTCCAAGATAGAAGTCGGTGCGATCTGCTCGCACACCGTTGTCAAGAAAGTGCATGCCCATAGCAGCATATATCTGCAAGCCGTCGCAGAAAGAATTTTCTGCGAAACCTCGATATTCTTGTTGTTGCGCAGAACTGCTGTTGTAAACATGCGTCTGCTGGCGCGATCACCAATCTGAGAGGCTTCAGCCCAGGATCTGTAATCTTTCCACAACAAATCCAGCCGCTTTTCTCGCGATGGGCCCGACATTATCGTAGTGTCGTCAGTAACCTCCAGCAACATGCTGCCGAGAAAATCAACAGCCACTGCCAAGTGTACCATATGCATGTAGTCAGGTAGCAGTCCTGATGGGTCCATGTCAAAGGTTTTGTTAACTGTTCTCTAAACATCAAGTGTAACAGTGCTTATATAGCCAAGATTCTGGAGGGACCAAACCCAATAATCTTAGTCAATGGAGTTTCTCCGTGTGCTTCGATGAAGTCCTCCTTGGTCAAGATCATAGTGCTGCGGTGGAGGGCGTCATGCCCGAAGCAGGAATAAAGCAGCTCCACGTTGTTGGGTTCCCCCGGCTTGGCTACAGCATTGATCCACTGGATTGCCGAACAGAAATGACATGTCATCTTCTTGTTGTAGAAGCCTCAAAGTTGGATCTCACCCGAAATTAAGGGATTGAAATTCAGGTATAGGGTTATAGGGTCTTGTTGCGGATGAGAAACGATGCAGGCCCATAGCAAGCTTGTGGTATTCCCAATCGGCTTGAAACCCATCAAAGATGCAGATATAATCGCCGCAGATTCGCGTGCCTGCCACTTTTGCCCTTTCGGGCATGTAGCCCGGACCGAACTCCTTCCCGAAAGCGTCGCAGCGAGGGTGGACACCCGAGCCTCAAGAATTTGCAAGAGTTTGCAGGTGTGCCGTTAGCAAATTTATTGCGCTAGCAAGATAGTCGAGTGGCTCAGGCAATTAAAGCTCCATGCTATAATGGTCAGCAGCTTGTCCCGTGCAGGCGTGCTGCAGTAGGTGCCATTCATACATGATAGCCTGGGTGTGGCCCACGCAACTCGGGGCTTATATGTGCATCGCTCCATGTTGATTCGACCCAAGGTTATAATCTGCGCGTCGAGACACAGGAACCGGGTGTTCAAGGTGGACGTCTCAGCTTCAGTCTTGGGGACCGTCACGAGGGTCAAAATCTCGAATTTTTGTTTGCCTTAGTATGTGTGCATGCTACATCGACCTCATGAAGTATGTCACTCATGTTTGCGTGATGATTTGGCTGAGAAGCGATAAGCATCTGCACCGTCACCATAAAGTCGTAGCGGCACCACGTAATCGAGATTGCAATCGGGGTCCTGCATGCAGACGGACCACACCAAGATCAGCAAACTCCCCACCCAATTCGGCCCAGCTGCATCGAAGGCGGGGTGCGGCTTCACAAACGCGCTCGTGGCTGCCAGCTCCTCTTCCCAATATGAACGAAGAGCCTGAGCTGCATGTGCATTAATTGCAAGCCTGGGATGAAGATGTCGGTGCATGCGCATGCTTAAATTCGACTAAGGGGCTCCTGGGGGTCCTGTAAGAAGTGAGAACAGGTCTTCTCGTTTGTAGAATGATGCCACCATCTCGTGGGGGAGGTACATTTCGTGCTTGATGGTAGTCCTGTGTTCGCCCCGGGCATCAATGTACTCCTGAGAACAACTAAGTCATGGCCAAGTTTGCTATAATGCGTGTTAAAATATCAAACATTGCATGCGTCTCAGCCGCCATTGGCACATCCAGCTGGAAAGCTTGAGGCAAGGCTGCTCCTGGGATCACGCAGGGCTAGATTAGCTAATCTAGATCAGTTTCGATCAGAGGGCATGCGCTGTAAGTTTAGATTGCGTGTGGATTGATTGATTGCCGGGTTTCTCCAGTCTTGTTTCTTGAGCCATCTCGCGATAACCCGACCACTCCCATAAGACTGGCAGGAGTCCAGAGCATCCAAAAGCTCCAGCGTATCCTGCCTGAGATGCATGAAACTGACAACTTCAGAAAATCATCGCTCCATGCGACTCAATTGCGACGGGGCAGCGGAATCAAGCTATGAGGCAGCTCGCGCAGTCGGCCTGCAAGTGCTGGGCAGCAGCTGCAATCCAGTTAAACGTGCTAGGTGCTGCTAGCTGTTATGTTGTAAGACCGCAATACAACAGCCTGGCCTAGAGTTTTCCGTAGTCTGCTCAGATTGGCCTGCAATTGTCCAAGTGTGCAGTTATAAAGACACAGACGACAGCATGCATGGCGGCACCTCCCCAGACCCGAACATCTCCAAGGCATCATGAATCGTCTGGTCCACATACTCCTTCATGCTGAGACCTGGATTCGCCTTCAGTTTGGACTCCATGGCGGCAACGTTTCTGCATCATGAAGCTGGGACCTTCAGGTTCTTCTGGGGCTTTGGTTCAATCGTCAGCATGGTTTAGGGTTCAGGGGTTTGTGTCAGTTCAGGGTCTTGGGATTCAAGGGTTTGCGTCGGTTGTTGGGGTTTTAAGATAAGGTTATATAGAGCTTATAAAGGATTGGGGGGCAGTGACTTTGATTTCCCAGTCATGATCGAGCCTGCGTTCTACCGAATTGGCACATGTGTAGACATTTACACGCACTCTCGATACAGACGCTTGCATGCCTCCAATCTTGCGGAATGCCGAGCAACTTTTGGCTTCCCCGGTGTCGGTGTTTGAAACTGAAATCGCTGTTACTGCATGCTACAGGTCAGGTTCAAGACGGCGGAACATGCATGCAGGTTTTGCAGGTCGACCTAGCTAGGTTGCAGTCATTCATCGAAGCATGACAATGACAGCCATCCCCGACCCAGCTAGCATCCACAGCTGCCGATCTGGATAGTTCGGCTCCCAGAGCACTGCATTTGCAGTGCCACATCTTAGGTGCGGCGGGCTCGTTTGGCCGGCGCTTGGGCAGCTGAGGAATCCCACGCTTCGGTGTCCCAGCTGCTGTCGTACTCAGCATCCGTAGCACCACCATCTTTGGCAGCTGCCTTTTCTGCTTTCTTTTTCTCTGAGTTCAAGCCTGCAGTATATGCCCGTTTGCAGTAGATCGAGACTCAGCTAGCTTGCATGCATGCAAATACCGAACACTGTAAGTGCATTTAAGAAGCGGCGATAGTGGCCGGCAACGATATCCTCTGCTGAGAGGACGGCTTTGTTGGCGGCCTCGATCCGTGCTGGCACGTGCTGCAATACATCATCCGAAGGGGCCAAATCTGCATATATCGAGGGTTTGATAATCTAGTAGGTTTCGGGTAATTAATCGGGCTTAAGACCCAACCTCGATCTCGGCTCGTTTCTCCTCCACCTTCTCGTAAACATACTCATCCTCGTACCCTGCGAAGACGCATTCGTTGATCCTGGAGGCGCATGCATGCAGTGCATAAAGACATCTGCATGGAGTGGACTATATATAGGTGGTCTGAATCTGATTAGATCGAGCGAGGCACTCTGCATGAATCCTCATCGTTTCTTGGTGCACGTCTTGCATGTGCTTGATGTTGGCCTGCAGCACCGATCGTTGAACATGCAACGGAATTAACTGCGTGGTTCTCCTGATTTCGGGCGTGAATGCACGGGGTCTAGAAGTTCTTGCGGGTTTGTATTGCATAAGGGATTGTGGTTTCTTGATGCTGTGAACTACGGGAACTATATAAATGTGGGCCACTACACTTGATCTTGAGTTGTATATCAGACTACCGCTGCGGATTCTAGATAATCTGTGGTAGAATTGCTACATGTCTTGAAGCAATTAGCGTATAAACAGGATCCAGGCCTCCTGGCGCTCCAGACCCGAACGTGTAAGGTTCTGGGCCACTGTTCTTGCTTTGGCAGCCAAGGACAATATCCTGGACAACGTGGAGCTGCCCTAGCTGTTGCATGCTGACAGCAGAAGTTCGCACATGGCTGCTCGGCAAGCGTCTGGCTCATCGTCTTATCAAAATCACGTTTCCTCACTTCTTCATCCGTCAGAACCTGCGAAGCGAAGTGATGCTGTATGAGCATTCCAGACAGGACTGCAGAATTTGTATGGAATTAGTGTTATTGCGTGATGTACATCTCACAGTGTATACATGCTGTCCTTGGGCTCTTTCGTGGGCTTCTTCCCCTTGTCGTCTTGACCCTTCACAAAGTCGGCAGCTTGGGAAGTCAGGATCTCCCCGAGCTTCTTTTTAGTGGTTTCGTCGGCTTTTCCGATCCGCTTCCTGGCTTTGACCTTTGTGCCCATCTTGTTCACGTTGGCGCCTTGGTCGTCGTGTCTCTTCTGGGTTTCTGGGTTCGCTCCCTCTCTCTCTCTCTCTCTGCCTCTATCTCTCTCGTGGTTCTTCATGTCATTTCTAGATATCTAGATATTCAAATATGAAGACATCTCTCAATTCGTCACAGGTGCTGATCTCCTTTCCGTATTCATACACTTTGTACAACCTCCAGGAGGCATTGCCTTTTGCTTGCGGATGCTCGCGTCCAGACTGTTTCGCCAGGATATCTTCTTGAAGAAAGCGTCGGCCTTCTTCTGTATCCCCGTATCTCTTCTCTAGTTCGTGAAGAGGGAGTTCGATGTAGTGGCCTTCGTTCCGCTTCTCCGAATACCTGAGATAGATCTTGAAAGAGTGCAACCGCGATCGTGTGAACTCTGCTACTCAGTAGATGTGGATCACAGCAAATGATCAATGCTGCCCGAGCACTCGCTGTAGGTCGCTTCGATGTGCATATCGCCCATATTAGGGTCAAGCATAAATGCCTTCAAAAATTCGAACCTCAAGGATGTTCCAGGGTCAGATAGCCACAATGAACTCAATATGCACAAGCGATCTCATTGCATGCATAACTTGTTAACAACTATCCGAGAAGCTTCCCTGTGGTGCTCTTTGTTGCTTCCCACTTTTCGAGTAGTCCCGGGGGGAGTCCTGCGTGGTATGCTGTTTATAGGGATCGGTTATAATAATCGTGAACGAGCATGCAGCACTGCTCTCCTTCAGGATGTTCCATGCGCCGCTTCATGGCCTCGCGCTGCCGGCGACGTTCCCCGGCGTCCATCTGGCTGGGGTGGGTCATGGCGTGCGAGCAATCTTTGGGCTTGCTTTCGCGGTAGAGATAATGTGGGCTCTCTGTCCTGGATCGATTGCCGGGTCGCTTCGTCCAAGACTCTGACCTATAGCTGGGATTCATGGCAGGAGGGGTGCATGCATGCAACACATGCACCGAAATGGGTATAGGGTCCGTGCCCTCCTCACCTTGCCCTCCTGGTCCCGCACGCCCACCGGGCTGATTGAGGACTTCTCCGACTGGACGCTGATGCTGGAGGGCGCCCGCAGGATGGATTTCCTGACCCGTGTCTGTGAAGTAGCTGTCGCACACTAACACACACACACACACACTCACACACACACACACACATATATATGCACGAGCGGATCGTGTGCAACCAGGGAGCGGCTTGGGGTAGGAAGCCGGAGCAGGCGGGTCGGCAGCACCCGCATCCATACCCTCATCATCCATACCTGAAGTCGGTATCCCTTCATCAGCATCATCCCACTCCTCACCCTGATCGGCATCACCGGACTCCTGGCCCTCGTCAGCTTCTTCATCCCAGCCTTGATCCTCGTCGGCATCATCAGGATCAGGTTGTTCCTCCTCATCTTCCTCTAGGTCCGCCTCCTCGCCCTCCTCTCCGTCATGGGCCTCGTCGACTTCGGTAGAAGGCTCCAAAGCACCTGTGCAGAAACCAGGTAAAATCTTTCTCTGGTCTTTCTCTTTGTCTCCCACACCTTAAACCCACCCAAGCCACCCACCCAACCCACCCATCCAACCACCCACCCGCGAACCACCCACCCACCCAACCCACCCAGCCACCAACCGAGAGACGAGAGAGAGAGAGAGAGAGAGAGTTAGTTTTACCCCCTACGCCATAGCCCTATAGACGAGACGAAAGAAAGAGAGAGGGAGGGAGGGATGGAGGGAGGGAGGAGAAAGAGAGAGAAGAGAGCAGATCAGACAAAAACAGCAGTCACAACACGACATGTTCGTGCGTGGATGAGCAACTATAAACCCCCACGATTGCATTAAGCTGGGCACCTTGGAGAACATCCTGCAGAAACTTGTTGTGATGCATGAGCTGCGCTGCTGGTGCTTTCCCCCATGCCGTTGTGTGGGTCGGGTGGTGCTGGGCCTGCCAGTTCTTGAACATCTCGAACATGCTTTTGTTGTTGGCTATGTTTCTTAGGCGTTGCTGACACAGCCTTGGTTGTTTGGCCTGCATGTTGGACAACTCGCCGAGAACACAGGTGGGGAGCACAACGCAGGGGTTCTGGAAGTCTGAGTCTGCAACCTCTGCCCTATTCGTCATGTCGTGTATGCTCAGCTGCCAGTGCTGATCCTCGTCGTAGTCATGCTCCGTGTTGCACAGCTCTGCGGCTTCCTCGTGGACGGCTTTCAACAAGGCTCTTGTCTCACCCTTCCCGGCCCCAGAAAAAGCCGTGCCCTTGTGGCCCTTCTTGCCAGCTGTGCCAGATCCCTTTGGGTGCTCATGTGCTCCTGCGCTCTTGGTGGATCCCTTCGCTGCATCTTTGCCTTTGCTCTGCTTGCCGGATCCCTTTGGGTCTGCTGGTCCTGCGCTCTTGGTGGATCCCTTCAGCTCGCCTTTGCCTTTGCTTTGCTTGCCGGATCCCTTTGAGGGGTTGGGGTGCTCCTCTGGCCCTGCGCTCTTGGTGGATCCCTTGGCTGCGCCTGTGCCTTTGGCTTGCTTACCGGATCCCTTTGGGGTGGGGTGCTCCTCTGGTCCTGCGCTGCCGGATCCCTGGCTTCTGAGCTCGCCTTTGCCTTTGCTTTGCTTGCCGGCTCCCTTTGGCGGGTGCTCCTCTGGTCCTGCGCTCTTGGTGGATCCCTTCTTACCGGATCCCTTGGGTGCTTCTGAGCTAGGCTTTGCCGATGCATATGTCTCGGTGTCGAAAAATCGTTTCATCGACTGCGGGTTGAGGTTCCGGAGTTCCACCTTCTCACCAGCCTGGCTTTGCTTGCCGGATCCCTTTGGGTGTGGGTGCTCTTCTGGTCCAGCGTTCTTGCCGGTTCCTTTGAGCTTGCCGCATCCTTTCGGGGTGGGGTCCTCCGTTGCTCCTGGGCTCTCGGTGGATCCCTTCGCTGCATCCTTGCCTTTGCTTTGCTTGCCGGCTCCCTTTGGGGGGTGCTCCGTTGCTCCTGTGCCTTTGCTCTGCTTGCCGGCTCCTTTTGCCGGCTGCTCCGTTGCTCCTGTGCCTTTGCTCTGCTTGCCGGCTCCTTTTGCCGGGTGCTCTGTTGCTCCTGTGCCTTTGCTCTGCTTGCCGGCTCCTTTTGCCGGGTGCTCTGTTGCTCCTGTGCCTTTGCTCTGCTTGCCGGCTCCCTTAACGGGGTGCTCCGTTGCTCCTGTGCCTTCGCTCTGCTTGCCGGCTCCCTTTGGGGGGTGATCCGTTGCTCCTGCGCTCTGTTTGCCGGCTCCCTTTGGGGGGTGCTCCGTTGCTCCTGCGCTCTTGGTGGATCCCTTTGCTGCTGTGCCTTTGCCTTGCTTGCCGGATCCCTTGGGTTGCTCCGTTGCTCCTGCGCTCTTGGAGGTTCCTTTCGGCTTGCCTTTGCCGGACCCTTCTCCCTTTAGCTCGCCGCCGCAGCCGCTGGTCCGCGGCATCTTCCAAGCGTCGCCCTCATCGTCTGCATGCTCTGCAGCACGTTTGGGCGCCATGTTGATCGACGAAACCCGCCGGAAAACCTTTGATCCCACACGGCACGGAAAGGCACGCACCCAATCCCGACCCACCGCGGTCGGCTCCGGAGCCAATTTCAAAAGGCACGCAAAGGCACGCTTTTGGGCCCCATATAAGGACGCTGGCACGAAAAGGCACGCAAAGGCACGCTCTCTCCGGACCCCGTCCCGCCCCTCCCGCCGCAGCCCAACGCTCGAGTCGTGCCTTTTCCTGCCTCTTGCCCATGTGTGCACATCCCAACTGGCCCCAAAGCACGCGCACTATCTAGCAGCAGGCCCCCAAATCAGCACAAATCGAAGCATTCATGCAGTCTGCCGATCGATTATACGTGAGTGCATGCATGCAGCACATGGAACACACACACACACACTTCAAGTCTCTTGATCTGTCTCTTTGTCTGTCTGTCTTGTTGTCTGGCTGTCTCTCTGTCTGCAGCAACCAGGCAATAACAGAACTGCTGCCAGCGTCTGGGAACTTTGTTCAACTCGCAGGTTGTAGTCAGATCCAGCTGGCATGCTCTAGCAATAGCTGGCTGCCGTCACAATCAGCAAAGAAGACTGCTTGAGCAGATCTAATTCAGCTATGGTATACTGCGGCACATGTATGCATAAATTGCAACACACGCACACATGTCCGAACAGCCGGCAGTGCGAAGCATTCGCAGAACTCACATGACATTGTCTAATCCACTGTCTGAACTGCACTCGGAGGAGTCATCACCGAAAAGCAGCTCATCATCGGGACGGATCCTTATCTGCAGCTCTTGCGACTGCAAGATCCGGGCCACCTGGCGCAAGATTACTTTGGGAGAGAGAGAGAGAGAGAGAGAGAGAGAGAGAGAGACAGAGAGCTCCAGAGGCATCGGACAGTTCTTATTGACATGTTGAACCGAAGAAGTGACAGCTCGAGCATCAGTTGTCGGTAGATGGCCCGTGCAGTAGAGCCCGCCGCTTATAATGCCACGGAAGCTGAGAAGCTAAGTGCGCTCTGGGTCGTCGTCACTACAGCGGTAGAACAGCTCAATTGCTTGTCGTCAGAGTTACCGAGATTGCGGTTATGGCTGGATAAAGTATCGAGTGAAGTGTGCTCTCTGCGTTCGCGTCTAGAGTCCTTTGAGGAGGACTTGGTGGAGTCATTCTGCGACGTGCACGAGCGCATCGATTTGCTGCACTCGCGTTCTGCTGCCTATAATGATCCCGATGATCTGGGGCCCCAGACTACAGATATTAGCTTGGACACTATGGATTAAGCAGCGGTGCTTTATGCCATCGGAGTCTTGTGATGTACGAGGAGAACATTGGAGAACTGGAGATCATCTGAGGTCGCCCCAGCATATAGTGTGATTCCGTGATACAAACTCTTATGAGCTTGCTCTCCCGCCAACTCAGAACGACTTGCATGATGGTTCTCTATAGCTGTTGTGCCTTGTGATCCTGAATACTAAACTATTTCATGCAATGACTCCCGGCAGAAGTCCGACGGAGCACGTCCCTTCGAAGCAAAACCAAGGGTGCTCCAGAGAGAGAGAGAGCGAGAGAGAGAGAGAGAGAGAGAGAGAGAGAGAGAGAGAGAGATGGATGAGCAAGAGATCGCCAGTGCAGAGCTAGACCCCCCAAATCATCGCCACCGGAGCCTCGATGCCGAAGCCAGCAGGATAGGCTTTGGAAGCTTCGAGATCTCGACCTCCGGCCTTATAAGGCTAGCCCCAGTGTGATATCATTATAAGACACGGCTAGAGCTTCAAAGCCATATTGCAAGGACCTGATATTCTGCACATGAGACACCGACGCACTTGGACTGCCCCTTGGCATTCTTCCAACGGACGACATTCTGGATTTTCAGGAAGCTTCGAACTCGTCGCAGATGGCACCTGACATATGGCTTAGACTTCTACCACGAAAGGTACCCGATAGGATCTACTGTCGTGGGTTCGGCAAAGTCGAGGTTTCGTGCCCAGCCTGCGTTCTTTGTGCAAGGTCCTCCGAAGCTGTCGGAGCCCTTCCCAATTTCCAACCAACGTGACCTCAGATAAGACAAATTGTCTTGATGTGGCACACAGCTGAATCCCGAACCTCTCAAACACATTTGCCGTCCTGGGGGCAGCCTTAGGGGTTGCCGACCCATAGCATCCCAGGTGTATGGTCACTTTCATGAACTTCATCTTCCGAAGCAGCTTCTCGGTTGCATGCAGACACAAAATGATCCACCACAGCTGGTGCAATTCGAACTGATTGAAATGCTACGATGGAGCGCAACATTCTTTGCCAAAGCTCCCGGAGAGGCACATATCTCCAAAGCAAGGTCGAACTGGGGTTCTCAATGACAAAATTGACCTTTTTGGCCAGTGCATATTTCAGCCTTAGATGAGGATCGCAGTGTTGTGGATCGGTTCTTAATTCGGTGCTACTATATGATGCTGCTTAGGAGCAAATAGCACATTCGGCGACAGAGGCGGTTGCCCATAGCACATTTGTTGCCCAGGCCTGCAGATGTCGATACACGAAATCCCCCAGCTGAGATACTGCTATGATGCTGCCGACACTGCTCCTTGCGGTCGCAGCCAAGATCTTCTCGATGATCCCCGCGACCTTGGCCGACCATGCAGAGAGACTCAAGCATTAGGTGGATGAGTTCTTTACACACATAAATACATATACATAGGCGCACAATTGTGTGCCTATGTATATGTATCTATGTGTGTAAATTAATTATGTGTGATATATGTAATGTGCTGGTCCATGCATGCATGTGTAGACGTCAATGTAGCAATATATGTACACACACACATGCATGGTGCAACCACTATTCTTCTTACTGCGGGGAATAGGAGGGTGTGTGTATGTACAAACAGGTCTTCTGTATGTGTGTACATATTTATATACGAGGATTAAGGAGTTATACATGCATGCCGGTACGGAGCTACTTGTTTTGCTTCGGTGTATTTATGTCTCTCTCCAAGATAGACGCATTGTACAAAAATATGTGTTGTGGTCGCGCGAGTGACAATATATGCGCCTCATGCGACATTCAACGGCAAGCGAATGCGGTCATGCCATGCAGTCGGCCATGGAACATGCTCGGAATCGCGAGATCTTCATGCTTGCCATGCAGTGACGCAGCAATTAAGAACATGTTTTCAAATCGCAATCCGGATGCGTTCATGCGCATGATCAGTCGCCTTCGTCCGTCCTTGTTTGTCTTCGCACATCGCTCAACCAATGCCATGCAAAGCGGAATCGGTCTTCCCATCTTGATTTGCTGAGGGCTTTGCTGCACTAGCAGTGTTGCACGTATAAATCATAAGTCGTCCGTCATTACTCGCAGATCCCGCGGCAACCATGAAGAACATAGCATGGACGATCTCTTGGCAACCTGGGAATCATTCAAGATACTGCAAAGTGTTGACCGGCCATGCACTCAGCTAGTCGTCCGTGCACCCGCATCCCAATGCCCCGAAGTATATACTACCCATAGAACCCCAAAAAAGAAGTCGTCATGCCTCATCGTTTCATCAAGACAGATTGCACAACCGCGGCACATGGCCATGAGCTAATGAATCAGCACCCTCTGTGCGGCTTTATTGCTGGAGCTCGTCACAGAATGAGCTCATCACGTAGCTTCCTTCATTCTTAAGTCAGATAGCAGCAGCCGGCCAAACGTTACATGCGTGCTCAGGTAACTCTGCGGCTGTAGGGCGATAGCGTTGCGCACAGTGTTGCACGTAGCTGCAATAGCGTTGCGTACAGTGCATAATGGTAGCTCGAGTGTGCCGCAGTACGATGTTGCTTTGTGAGCTGCCGAGTGCTGCTAAAATCGCACATGTCTAGGACCTTCAATTACCGTTCATTATGTTGACTTCGGGGTTCCCGGCTGTTTCAACCCCGGCCGCCGGTGGATCCCTCCAGCCCTAGTCTCGAACAACCCAAATCCTAGATAGGACCTCAGAATCTGACGTTTTCGATGATCTATGCACATGCATGCTTCCCCGAAGAGCATATTAACTAAAAGCAGAACCCCAACACCGTCGCTGTTGTACCAGATGATGCCCAATATCCTATACGTCAACCATGTAAACCTCGTACAGCCACCGCTTTTCCCAATAGCCCTGATTGGAAACTCAGATAGCATGTGTTTGCCGTCATGTGACTAAGCCTATGTGGCACGTGTTCCCACACCCTTGAATTTTCAATATCATGCACACACACACACACCCTCAAGCCCAACAATGAACTCAATCAAAAGATACACTAGCCAGGGCCTGCATAACCCTTATTCTGACTCGAAGCCTTGATACATAGTCCTGCAGTAATTGAACCCTACAGGATCCTATAAGATCTAAACCCGAAGCCCGGGACCCCTATAAACCCGTGCACCCAACCCTAAACCCCTGCACCCCTAAACTCCTGCAGCCCTATAAACCCGAAACCTGGTGCGGTTAGTGCGCCCTACATAATCAACACCCCGGAAAACAGCAGAAGGTGTCAGAACATACTTGCGACACTGTTACAAGCCCAAAGCCCTGCAACAATCCCAGAGTACAACCCTCTAATGTCACAGTCTTCCAAGAACCGACACGGCCCCTTCAAAGCCCCACAAAAGTCAGGAAGCACCAGAATTGAGACCTAATTCGTACACACATACAGTAAAGCTCCGACTTCTTAACCCAAGGAACTAACTGTTCCATTAGCCCAAACCCGCATGTAGCTGTATTCTCTAAACAAAGGCCGCCCCTGTATGTAGAGTTAAGACTGCGTGATCTGAGGTTACCACATGAAGACCCAGCTCGAGCAGGGAATCGCAAAGAAGACGAGGCCGCCTTCGATGGTGTGGCGAACCTTAGATATATAGTTTCGGTGTTCGGTCTTTTGCTGTATCTTCCGTAAGCTTTGGAATCTGAGCGTCGAGGTTCAATGCCAGTAGAAAGCCGAAGCCACTGCAGAGATCCATTTGGGGGGATTCGATCACCTCGGGCACGTGT